ATTTTTCTGAAGAAGGGTCTCGGCCCGAAACGTCAGCCTTCCTGCTCCTCTGATACTGCTTGGCCTGCTGTGTTCATCCAGCTCTACACCTTGTTATCTCAGATTCTCTAGCATCTGCAGTTCCTACTATCTCTCATTCTGTAGCTCAGTCTTTTGGTTGCTAGAAGCTGCTTACATCATTTGTCTGAGGATAACACTGTTACAGTGCAATTGCGGAGCCATATAACAAGTTGCTAATAGCACAACTACATTTAAAAAATGAATTCCATATGTTGGTTGTACTTGACATAGGTTTGAAATTGTATCTTGGAGACTGAATTCACAGGCAGTTTCTCACATGTCAGTTTGTAAAAGGAACCCAGAATATGATGAGAGGAAGTTTGGTTAAAGCCTAGTGAAGTGTCTACATTTCCTGTGTCCATTTTGGAAAGGAACCAGCTGTTTGATACAGTTCTGAAACTGAAAAAATTGCTGTAAAATTTGAAAACTTAATTTTAAGAAATGCATGAGAGGTCATGGTATTGTTCAGGAATAGATGCAGGTAAAATGTACTGCAAGGTCAAAAAAATTAATTGCTTTCAAAACCAAATGCTGAAAATATTTAATTCATTATCCTTTAAATGGATGCTAGAAAGGCATGTCACATCATATTTGTGCAATCAAAAGACTGGAAGAGATCAAGAATGGCATTGATATCCTGCAGTTTAAAAGAAAACACTGGCTACAATAAAAGAACTGAATTTGTAGTTTATAGCAAGTGCGTCTTACAGGTAAACTTTCATACTAATAATTACTTATTCCACTAGAAATTGGAGGCAAACTTGTATGAGAGTAATTATAGTAAATTTGCTGCACTGTTCTACTGGATATCTACGACGTTCATTTTTTTTGCATGTCATGCAATATTAAGAGCTACATTCTTTTTCATAATCATGATCAAAACTGGATAGAACATAAGGGGAAATGAAGAATAATCGTGGTGGTAAGATCAGCAGGTGGTTCACCTCTTGGGCTGTTCGTTCCTCACCTACCACCACCCAATGCAAATTGTGGCCAGAGAGGGGGCAAGACTTTGGTACTATTCCCAGCAGGTTTCAACACTGCCCCACTTTCCACTGCTTCCTACGATCACCAACTAGATGCACAAACTAGGGAACAGCATCAGGAATCCTAAACAAAGACAAATCTTAATGCAGGTCACTGTTCCCTCCAATTCATTAACAGTGCTCAGCTCACCGAAGGTCCTGATCTCGACCAAGGCCTTCAGCGAGTGGTCTGGTTCAAGTATCAGGGTCCTTCTGCCCCATAAAATGGAGGCCCTGTCTCTTCTGGTGCAGTAGCAGTGTTGCCACAATATTAGCATTCTTGTGTTGACAGAAATGGAATCCCTCTTGGCTTCAAGAATTTTGGCAGAAGCCTGCTCCTCATTGTTACTAATTTTTGAGCGAGGGATATTGTTTGGACCAGATTTGGAGAGGCAGATCTAGGTCTTGCCCTCAAGGAATCCTATCAGAAGAGAGGAATTCAGCCTTAAAATATTTGTGGGTGCGCATGTACAACGAAGATTACAAGAGAAAACATTTAGGTGTCAGGAGTAAATGTGACACTGAAGGGATTAAATGCTTTTCTATACACAAAACAGATTCTTGAAGTACTGCAGAGATCAATAATCCCAACATTTGTTAACAGTTAATAACTAATGATGCTTAAAAGGAATGCAGCACAAATATTTGCAACTTTATCAACAAAGTCCATAACATATTTCCAGAAAGTAACAAAGTTAAGATAAATCACAGATGATCACACATGATCCTTGGCCATGCAGCTTCTTCAGATGCTGTGATCGGTTTAAGTGAATGATGCATATGCTAAACCAGAATTACAGGGCATAAATATCCTCTGAAAGCCATCCTTTGAAGTAAAGTGAACAGTGTGTTTTGACTTTCCTGCATTTAGATTTACTTTTAACAGGATGAAGTGAATGGTTATCTTGTGGGAGAAAATATATGTTTTAAACAATGACATGTCCCTTTTGGTTCACATCCATTGCAGATGTCTAAACAACAAAGAATTTAATTTGTATTCCGTCTGGCTGTACCAGGAATCTAGGAGTATATCCTAGGAGGAATAAGGAAACCTCTTGCTCGATTAGTTCTAACTGCCATGACATCATAGGTGGGCTGATCCTACAAACTTCATGCTTGTGTTTTTAAGGAGCCTGTTAGTCTGCCTTATGTTGAGATTCTGTGCATACCAGCTACACACCCAATCCAACAGAGCCTGGCCTTGAAGCAATAAAAGCAGCACAGACAGTGGCATCAGCAACAGCTAAGAGTTGCATGATCTCTCTGCTAACTGAAAACAGAACCCGGATTTGAGTATAGCACAGAACAATTCTGCTATTTTTCCTTCAAATTTATTACTGCAGATTACCATATGTAGACAAATTTTTATCAGGAAACAATGCTTATGGATCTTTAATATTGTGGGACATTCATGAGTCCATTTATTACTTCAGAAATCCATTTGACATTACCACAACCAGAACGGCAAACATTTGGAAACTTTTCATCTGACTTTGGAGCTTTACTGCAACACGCACACAGGAAAGGAATCAGGTTTGTATAATACATGAAAATTAAGTGAGCTTTCTTTGTGAACTAAAATGTGTCTTATTTTTTTCCTTCAGTTCAAGTTTTCTTTCAATGCATGTTAAGTGAAATGTAACACAAAAGAACAATCCTACCACTCAGCTGGCAATCGTAATTAGTCTGGGTTATGAATATTTAGGAGATAAAACAATGAAGGGATTATATAGATTACAACTTCAGTTTTACTTTCTGAAATGTGTTTTTTGATTTAGTTGGTTTAAATTAGACAGAAACCTGTTGCTTTCCACTTCTAAATAATCTACAAGAATCATTGGTAGTATTCAATAGTAGCAGTTTTTAAAGATATTTGCTTTTTAAAAATTGTCCAAGCAAGTCAACACTCTTGTATCCAATGTTACATTTTTGTCTAATATTACTTAATCAATTAATGTATTCATTAAGTCTTACAGGCATCTTTCATTCTTATGTCCAACATACTTGTGTCAATAAAAAGGAACTCCACATTGTATACTGTTGCAAATTTTACATATCATATTTCTTAGACAGATAAAACTTGCCAGACAGAACAGATTTAGTTAACAGAATAATAAACCTTCCCCCTGCTTGAACAGTAAAATGTGTTTCCTGAGCCCACATTAAGATCTGCCCAACAGTTTGAAGCCAAGGTTTTGAAGGTTAAACCAAATTACAGTACAACTTACAGCCAGTTTCGCATATCATTGTAGAACGCTAAAGGAAATTTCATTTCAGCAACATTAAAGGTCAAAGCACTAGTTCAATTGACTCTTTTTGTTTAAATTGTATTTTTGGAATATAGTGTCTACTCCTGCAGATAGTACCATTTTCAGTTCATGTCAAATTACAGACATAGGCAGTCTCATGTAAACAGTCCAAAACAATCTTGTAGTCTTTGTAACATATCTTTTGAGTAATATCAATTTCAGCATATATGAATAATAAGTTGACAACTATACACATTCAATTTAGATGCTTGTGTAACTGAGTATTTTGAAAATAGTTTGCATCTCAATACTAGCCAAATGGAGTCATATATTTATCAGATAATGTCTTGTCCTGCTGGCATTAGTTCTCAACACAGTGAGTAATGTCCTTGCCAGATTTGTTTGTAGGAAGTACACTCTTGGAAGGTGGTTCTAATCTTCCACTGTCCTTTTTTGAAAGCAGGTAAAGGAAGAAGTATAAAAATTGTATGCTAAGAGGTCAGTCGGGAATATGAAGAATGTTTAGTTGTAGCCCAAGTTGCAAGTAAACTGGATTGAGGTTTGAACCATCTCCTTGAAAAAAATTAAGTCACATAATATGAGTAATTCATCTGTATTAACATTGCGGGACTAACAGTCACCTTTTGCAAGCAACGAGTAGTTATACCAGCAGTGGATGCTGTGAAAACACATTGCATGCTCAACTTCAAATAACGTAAATAGCAAAATCTATTGCAAAGTTGAATTTATTACTTTAAAAAGACAAAACAAAGCAAGTAATTAAAGTCATTAGGTTACACTAGCCATGGTTTTATTTCTAAGAATCACATGGAAAGAATTCTAGGAATTTACAGAATGGAAGGAGCCATGTCTGCATGGGCTATAAAGAATAATCTGAAAAGCTTTCTCCTCAAATATACTTTAAATCTCTCACTTTAACTAAACGTGTGCTGCCTGGTTATGGATCCCTCAACCAAGTGAATTAATGCCTTCCTATACAGGCCACCCAGACCCCCGAAAATCTTATGTAATTTTATATTTCTCCAATTGAGAACCTTGATTTCCAGTTGATCTTTTCTCTTTTCCATTACTCACCAAATTTTAACGGAATTATGACCACTTCCACAAAATGCTCAACTGATATCCCTTTCACCTGTCATTAACACTAAGTCCAGAACATCCCTTGTTGTTAGACTTGCCATATACTGGATAAAAACATTTTCTCTAAAGCATTTTGAGAAATGTGCTCTCATTGAATCTTTCACACTGTTCGATCCCAGTTAAGATTAGAGTTGTTGAAATCCCTCATTTATTACTGCTCTGTGGCTTTTGCACCTATCAATGATTTGCTTGCATATCAACTCTCTTTCCTTCTCTTGAAGGTCTAAAGTGTATTCCCAACAGTGACAGTCATTTTTGGTTCTTCAGTTTAATCCATCTAAGCATTTGATGATTCTTCTTTCATGTCATTCCTCCACACAGCTATCAATACAGTGACGCCCTTCCTTTGTATTCCACTATCTCATTGAAAGATCCAGTAAACAGGAAATATTGAGCTGTCATTCCTGGCTTTCATTAAGTCATGTTTCAGTAATAGCCACATCATATTCCCCAGTGGCAATTTTGACTTCCAATTCAATAACATTTTCCCTAGACTTCTTCCATTGAAATACGTAACATTCAAAACTAGGAAACTCTCTCAGTCTATCATCTGGCTTTATTTCCACTGCCTTCTAAGCATGCTAACAAATTTTCTACCTTACTTTCCATTTTTCTCCACCCTTCTGAATCTGCACTCAAGTTTCAATTTGCCTGTTAAGTGAGTATAACCATTCTCCAAAAGCACCAGCAAAATCCTTTGGGAAAATATTGGTTCTAGTCTAATGAAGTGCATCCCATCGGACTTGCACACGTTCACCCAAAAGCAGTTCTAATGGTCAACATATCTAAAGTCCTCCTTCCTGCACAATCTGTATTAACCATACATGGAAGAGCTCTATCTTCGTATTTTTGTATTCATTCACAAATGGTACTGTTACTAGAATCATTAGATGGCAAAGCAGAAGAGATCTTTCAGCCCACCGTGTCTGTGCTAGTTTTTTGAAAGAGCAATCAATTTGTCCTACTTCCCTTTCTTTCCCCTGTAAACATTTCCCTTCAAGTGCTGAGAGTTACTAATGAATCTGCTTCTATCACCCTTTCAGGCAGCACATTCTATACTGTTGTGATCCTGCATGGGACTGTTCAGGTTTAAATAAAAAAATCTGAATACCAGCAATTCACTGACAACCAAATCATAAGATTTCATGTTTGTAAAGAAAAGCAAACTTCATTATATACCAATTATTCAAATTAATCACTATTAATTTATACTTCATAACTGGATATGGGCCAGGAGCAGGCAGGTGGGATTAGTTTAGTTCGGGATTAGGTTTGGCATGAACTTGTTGGTATGAAGGGTCTGTTTCCATACTGTATGACGTTATGAATATTATGAATGCAGTTTTATTTGTTGCTTTCCTACAATAGTTCCTTATCTTACAAAATCATGAAGTTTCCTTCACAGTTCTTAGGACCAACCCTAAAAGTTAGGCTGTAGCTCTCCAAAATTTACTTTCATTCTCTTTACCACTCATTATTACTTAAGGTACAATTTTATTGGAAATCCTTTAATTAGGATTTACTTAAGCAATCCTCTAATTTCATTTAAATATTTTCAAGACTGTGGATTCTTCAGTTCAAGTATGGGTTCCATTGTCACCTTGTTTATGGATTTAAGCATCAGGAACATCCCCAATTGCTAATAACTCGCTAAACTCACACAACCTCTGTATAGCTGTTGATCTCACAGGTGATTTTAGCTTTTGTTAGATGCTTTCTCCTGTTTATTCCAAGCTGACCAGTTACTTTCTGGCACAAGGGTCTGTGAGGATCACTATAGATTTCTTCTTCAAGCTTCGAACTTGACAAATCTTGCAGTTGCTCACTTACATTCTTTGAAATGGATGGTAAAGTTGATATTTTGCCTGCTCAAGTGCAGGTCTGATTAATGTTAAATTCCTTTGGCTCACTCAGTTAGTTGCAGCCCAGATAAGACCAAAGCTGTAATGGTTCTGTCCGTTCCCAAACTGAAAAGCTTGCATCTGTCAGCAAATCCACATAGATAAGCTAAACAAAGGAAGCTTATACTCCAACATTCTACCTCCATGACAACAAGAGGAAATAAAATAGTTTACCTTCAACACAACTCCTTGCTTCTGTAAATTATATGAACAACTCATGTTTCTCATGGGAGTGTTAGAACTTCGGTCTCCCCACATTGCTGGCTCTGTTAAGGAATTGTCTTGTTCAAAACCTGGATTTTTCTTATTTGGATCTGAAAACCACAGACATAACTTAAAGCTTTTACAAAAGCAAGTGTAGATCTTCTGGATCCATTACATGCCCAGAGGTGGGTCATTTATGTCTAAGTAACAAGTCTCCTCTGATTTTGTTGTGATAAACAGGTAAGCTTTTAACTGTAACCATCTCCAAGCTTGTTTGAATTGCATATGTTTCAGATCTGAGTATCGGTTTCTCAATCAGATGTCCTCATTAATCTACAGCTAAACTTTAATGCATGAACCAAGAGCTATGCTGCAATGAATATCAATTATGGACTAGAATTTACAACCATACCATCCCAAATGTTGCCTCATGTTACATCAGCTTCTTATGCCAAATACCTTACTTTTGAGCCTTTGGATTTCAAATCCTTCTGTTACCAAAATAGACTGACCTTATTTAGTCTTTTGTAACCAACAATAAGCTTCAAAGTCAGTGTCATATGAGCATTTGCTGAGTTCTCCAAGTCTTTTACCAAATTATGGAAATTATAGAAGAATCAACACATGCATTTATAATTTTAATGTGATACGGCAACCCATATGTCACACAAAATGCACAGGGCAGTGGGTTAATTCATCCCCGAAAGCTAGCAAGACACCTGTGAAGGTTAAATCATGGGAGAGACCAACTAAAACACTTAACACCTTCACAAAGAGAACTGACAAGTTTAGTGAAGAGCTGCTTCTCCAATAACAGACTGTTTCTCTTTTGTGCATGCTGCTGAAAGGTTCACTAATGAGCCTATTAGCTGAAAACACAGAATAAAAACAGATAATGATTGGCTGAAAAACAACGGTTCAGAAAGTAAACAGTGGTAAAGAAGTGGTTGCCATGGTACCTTTTGTCAGGAGCAAATGGGCAGAGAGATCCAGCTCTTGTATCCGTGGAGGACGGGATGGTGGTGGAAGAAGGAGGTTGCAAGGAGAGGTTGGTAGGAGAGAGAAGCTGTAAGGGGGATAAAAGAAACATACAAGAATGGGGGAGTGGGAGGCTGCAAGGGGGTGATAAAGGGAGGCTGCAAGAAAAAGAAAAGGGAAGCTATGAGAGGAAGAGAGGGAGGCTGCAAGGAGGAGAAAAGGTCTGCAAGTGAGTAAGGGGGGAGGAGGATGCCAGGTGAGTAGGATGGGAGGAGGCTGCAGAGGGCTGGAAGAGTAGGCTGCAAAGGGGCTAGAGAAGAAGGACAGAGGAAGGAGGATAGTGGGACAAGAAGTTTTGATGTGGAGGCAACAAAGGGAGAGGGGAGTGGGAAGATGAGGTGGAGGATACTCAGTGGCTTCGACATATTAGGAAGGAGAGGGAGGCTGCAAGGAGTGGGGAAGGAGGTTGTTAGGGGAGGAAAGACAAAAGTAGAAGGGAAGAGGAGGCTGCAAGAGATGAGAATAGTTAAGTTGTAGGGGGTTGGGAAGAGGGAGGATGTGATGAGTGGAGACAGGAAGGCTGAAAGGGGGTAAGGAAGCACGGGGGTGATAAGAAGACTGCAAAGGAGATAAGGCCGTAAGGGGGCAATAAAAAGGCTAGGAGGACAGAGAGGGAGGCTGCAAAAGGACAGAAAGCAGTTTTAAAATTGTTAACAAAGGAAGTCTGACAACCTGGGAGACAGGAAGAAATCACCAAGTTATTAAATTCCTTGAAAATGAATGTGGAATCTCTAACTTAAGGTTGCTTAAATTCAGTAGCTACGAGTAGTTGTTATTAAAGTGAACATTGTATGAAATGTTAAGCTCAAATCTGAGATCGAGATCCTTGACATTATAAATGAGCCTGATTAAAATCTTTTATCTTCTTTCTGCATATGCGATAGAAATGCATTAGTTGTGACCCTACCATTAGAGGGTATGCTTAGGGTGATAGCTTGTTTGTAGAGCTACTGATCAGCTATTTTGGGGAAAAAAAGATTATTAATTTATAACTGTTGTATTGTGTCAATTTAAATACCATGGCATCTAGGAAATTCATACTTTCATTTTGTGTTGTCGCTTTAAAGTTAATGCGAGGTTGATAATTCTTGAAGATATTGTTGAACTCTTCCAAAGCTGGTTCTGACCATATGTAATGTAAACTTAAATGCAACAATATTGTTACTACGAAAATGCACCATTTAATAAATGAGTCAGTGAGAATGAAAAAAGATATTGAATGAGCAGCTCCTGAAAGCAAGAAGTATCCCTCGACGGAAAATACATGTTTTGATTACTGGTCTAATGGCATTTCATAGGTACATTCAAACAAAAATTAACACCAACCCAAAGAAGATATGAGGAAAGGTGACAAAGTTCAGTCAAAGAAATGTGGTTTAACAAAGCTGCTTTAAGAAGAAAGTAAGCAACATGGTTCAAGCAGGTAATTCTAGAGTGTCACAGCTCAAATGGCTGAAGGTACAGGTGCCAATGGTGAGGTGAAGGAAGTGGATGATCACACGAAGCAAAAGTTGGAGTGACACAAGAGTTTTCTCATGACAGACTTGGTCCAAACATGGACAAAAGACTTAAACTTAAGGCGGTATATTACCAAATATGGCATCAAGGGGTCCTTGCAAAACTGGAATCAATGTGAATCAGGGGAGGAGTCATACCTAGTTGTGGTTGTGGGAGGTCAATCATGACAGCCTGAGGACACCAGCGCAAAGTCCCCCGGGGTGGTGGTCTGAATGCGACCATATTCAGCTGCTTGAACTCCCTATCCAGCAAATCCTAGGTCCTGAAGGAATGATTAAAAATACATGAAATATGGCATAGGCCAGTCTCCCTCTCCTATAACAGCTGAATAACCAAAAAATTCAATTTCACATGTAAGATGTGAGAGGTATGACATTTTGACTGAGGCACCACCAATTGATTTCAAATAAAATTGAAACAGCTGGAAAAATAGCAATGGGTAAATGGTCCTTGAAAAAGGGATAGGATGTATACAACAGAGTTATAGGTATGCTGAAGTTTCTTCATGATAGAGAATGGAGGGCAGATGTAACAGCAGTGGAGTAGTCAAGTTGAGAGATCAATAATGTTTCAGCATGAGATAAACTTAAGAAAAACTGATGGGGGCAATGAAATAGGCATAGATGTAGCTGGAGTTTATGATGGAGAATATTTGGAGATGTAAACTTAATACACAGTCAACCAGGAGTCGAGATTATGAGTAGTCTTTGTTCAATCTGAGTTAGTAGATGACAAGGGGAATGGGATTGTAGCCAAGTAACAATTTGTGGTGGGGCTAAAGACATTTGCTTTTATCTTTCCATTATTTGCCTGTAGGACACTAATATTCATCCAGGACTGAATGTCAGACAAATAGTCTGACAACTTGATGGAAGGGTTCTGAAGAAGAGTCATTCTTGATTCAAAACATTTTTCCTGCACAGATGCTGCCAAACTTGCTGAGTTTCTCCATCACTTTCCGTTTTCATTTGTGATGGAAGGTGAAGTAGAATTGGGTGCTCTCCTGTGTACATAGAGTCTGACCTAATTTTTTTTGAATGCTGTTTCCAAGGAGCAGCCTGTAGATAATGAAAAGAGGGGACTAGTAAGAAGGGGTTGATATACTTATAGGCTATGGACAACTTATTGCAGAAATTGAATTATTTCGCAATATCAATTTTCTGCCTGCTGAACAACCACATGGCTAGATCAAAATGGCACAACTTCCTGGTTTAATAAGCATTAAATGTTTTACTAATCGGTGTGGTGACATCATACTGACAGAACTGCTGCTTCTTCAAAATACATTCTCTAGTTCATAGAGTACAGATCTCAGCTGCCAAGCAACCAAATCCTAGATAGAATGTATGACAAAAAAAAAACCATGAAATGTAGTATGGGCCAGTCTCCCTCTCCCATAGCAACTGAATAACCAAAGCAACCAATTTCACGTGTATGATGTGATGCATTTATGGTGGGTGGAAGCAGCTTAGGCTGTGGCACCACCAGTACTCAAATTCAAATAAAATAGACATGTACTGAAAAACAGCAGTAGGCATATATATCTTCTTTTATGAAAGATGATCAAGTCTTGCTGAGTTTCTGTCAACTTAGTTAGTGTATTTTGGTGCTTTTATGATATACTGTCTCTTCACACAGAATGAAATGTACGGACACTTTGTTCTTAAGTTGTGGGGATACGAGGAACAGGTTTAGAACTCCTCAATTGCAGGGAACATCAAGATCAATTACATACTATGAGAATGGAAATCTGTGTAGATCAACTAAGATGTTGAGGTGCCAGTGTTGGAATGGGATGGACAAAGTCACATGACATCAGGTTAAAGTTCAAAAGCTCTATTTGAAGTGATTTCAGATAAACCTGTTGCATAATAAGCCGATGTTGTGTGACTTCTGACTAGATCAAACTAAAGCAGAGGTTGGAAATTCTTTCATCTCAAGGACATTAATGCACCCATTGAGTACTGTGACAATCTGGCAAGGGATTACATGATGAACAGAAAGACCTGGGAAGCACTGAGGATCAAAAGAACCTTGCTGTGCATGTACACCGGTCTCTTAAGGTATCAGGACAGGCGGTTAAAATGGTCAAGAAGGCACATGGTATATTTGCCTTTATGAGTCGAGGCATAAAATTTAACAGCAGGGAGAGTTATGCTGGAATTGAATTTAACATTGGGTACACCACAGCTGTTCCAGAATCCACATTATTGGAGGGACGTAGTGAGGGTGCAGTGGAGATGTGCCAGGATGTTACCTGGGCTGGAGTGTTTCAATGAGGAAAATAGATCAGATAGACTGGGGCTGTCTTCCTTAGAGGAAAGGAGATCGAGAGAAGGCGAGATCGAGAGAAGGCCAGAACGAGAGAAGGCGAGAGCGAGAGAAGACATGATTGAGGTGTATGAAATTACGAGGGGTATAGACAGGGCAGACAGGAAGAAACTTTTCCTATTGATGGAGGGATCAATGTCCAGGGGAATAGATTTAAGGTATGCGGGACAAGGTTTAGAAGAGATGTGAAGAAAAACTTTTTCACCTAGAGAGTGGTGGGAATCTGGAACTCACTGCCTGCAAGGGTGGTAGAGGGAGAAACTCTTATAACATTTTAGAAGTATTTATATGTGCACTTGTGATACCAAGCCATACAAGGCTATAGGCCAAGTGCTGGAAAATGGGATTAGAATAGTTATGCGGTTGTTCCTGAATGAAGTAGGTGTGATGGGCTGAAAGGCCTTTTTCTATGCTGTAGATCTCTGTGACTTTTCATGTTCACTTTGCTGGTGCGAACCCATAAATATTTCGATTTACAAATTAAAATTTCACAACTTGTTCTAGTGATAAAGGCAGCCAAAGGAATGGGAAAATTTAAATGATATTAATAAAAATTTATTCTGGTTAATAAATACTGGAGACTAGCAGTTCACAATTGATCAAGGACTACTGTCTGAAACATAGCATGTTCAAATCTCAGGCACATGAAAATTATTCTGTCACAGTGACACAGTTTTTTTTAAGAGCCTGTGGTTTACATTCTCAAAGCAACCCAGTATCGCATCCTATTGGCATGATATTGCCCAAGTGATAAGTGAACATAAAGTTATTTAACGGAAATGCATTAAATGTAAAAGAAATCTTTGCAATACTGGCTGATCTCCCATAGCACTGTTAGACAATATACAGGCTTCAGCATGGCAGTTTCGTAGTAAAAGTGCACCTGTATTTAATTAGTTCTGACCCTTTTAAGGTCAATTCTGTGATGGCAGTTAAAGGTTAACTGCTGTTGATCAGGAAACGGGCAGCTGCCAGCAAATCCTTAGCTTCTCCCCTTGCATAATTAACTTTAGCAGAAACCAAAAAAAAAAAATTTCTTGTTCTTTCTTGTTATATGATAATTATGTCATTTAATGATGTGGAGATGCCGGTGTTGGACTGGGGTGGTCAAGGTCAGAAGTTACACAACTCCAGGTTATTGTCCAATAGATTTATTTGAAATCACAAGCTTTTGGAGTGCTGCTCCTTTGTCAGGTGGAGGGAAGTGCACAAACACAGAATATGTAGGCAGACGAATCCAAATCTTCTGCTCTCCACACAGTCAGGGGCTGAGGTACCATCCCCAAAATGCGCTATTGAACCTTTTTAAGCCTCAATGCAAAAAAAACTCTAGGAATTCCCTTGGAAGTTTGAACTCCCAGATTTGAAAATCAATTCTGCTTCCTAGGATCCTCTAAAATATACTCTAAGTTACAGGCAGAGACTTTGGACTGTTCTAACATAATTACTTGGATGGCTAGTCAGAAAATGTTAAGACAGAAAAATCAGAGTCTAACTCCTGGGTAATTACACATCTGAACACACCACCCCTGCAATACTCGCACTGACCTTGCTACTTGATCGCCCCCACCCCTCCCTTACTCAACCTGACTGGTTTCTCACTTGCCAACCCCTCGACTCAATCTACCACTTGACTTCTCAACTAAACCCTGACTCACTCTTGACCTGACCTGACTGCCCTTGATCCACCTCACCCAGCTCCCACCCCACCTCTCTCACATACCAAACCACTTCATCCATCTGCCACTCTACCCGTCTCAATGAAACTTTACCCCTGACCCCTCCCACCTCCCCATCTAACCCATCAACTTCCTTATCCATCCACCCTACTGCTTAACTCACCCACCTACCTTATACATTTACATTACACACTCATCTGCTCTTTCAAGCTTTTCAAAACAGCTTTGGAAAATTTCAAGTCTTCACTAACTGTTGTACAAAGCCTTTGCAGATGTGATGGGCTGAATGACCTCCTTTTGCACTGTAACATTTCTATGAAGAGGAGGGTGTGGCTTCTGCTTGCATTCCAAGTTCTGCTCCCTTCGAGTTCTGCTCAATTTAATCAATCAGTTACAAAGGATCTGCCATCAGAAGCTCACACAGAAAAATTGGAGGAAGGCAAGTGCATATTCCTTTGTATTGGTCATAATAAGAATTCTGATCCTTATCAGAAGATTCAGACCATTATTAAAATATATTTGTATTTGAAATTAAAATAAAAATGTACTGAGCACAGACTTGCAATGCTAAAAGCAGTTAACTAGCTTCTTAGCTACTGTTGAACTGTGGCAAAATCTGGCCACATAATTTATTACTTCAGAAATGAACATTTTTGGCATCCGAAAATGTTGGTGCCTCAGAACACAATTTCACACTTAATTGTTTCGCATTATCATTTCACAGTAAAAGTAAATAATAACAGAAATAAATGACAGATGAATAATTAGATGTTTTAACACCTCTAAAATTAGAAAATTAAAAATAATCTTTATTGCACGGCTACTCATGCATCATGATTAATCTACTTCTTGCAATATCTATTGGAGACACTCAAGTGAGAAAAGTTATACTGCTTCATATCCTGTGCTTGTCTCTGCAATAACCCATAAAAAACAGAAATGTTATAATTGAACACTTGTCAAAATTGGAGAAGAAAATGGGCATCAACTCAGAAATTGAAAGTGTATTGACACTCAACAGAATAGCAACATTTATAGCACTAAAAGTACAATACAGGTCATAACCGAACTATGTAACAGCGAGTTACAAAAGCAGTACCATTGTATCCATTCTGATCCTGTTTTCTTACGAGCATCCTTTTCATTGCCTTAAGCAGTTCAGGCTCAACATAAAATTTAAAACCGTAGAACTTGAACAAATCTTGAATATTT